CTGCATGGGCTTCATTTCAGCATAAAAAAGTTATGACTCTGAAAAGGACCGAGATGACAAGTGCTGGCAAGAAGGTGAGGAAAAGGGAACACCCTACACTGTTGATGGGAATGTAAATTGGTGCAGTTACTGTGGAGAACAGTACGCAGGTTCCTCAAAAAAAGAAAAACAGAATTTTCATTTGATCTGGCAATTCCACTCCTGGGTATTTATCCAAAGAAATAAAAATAGGATCTCAATGAGATACCTGTACTCCCATATTCATTGCAGCATCATTAATAATCAGCATGACATGGAAGCAACCGAAGTGTCCATTAAGGGATGCATGAATAAAGATGTGGTGTGTAGACACAATGGAGTAGTATTCAGCCACGAAAGAGGGAAATCCTGCCATTTGTAACATTACAGATAGACTTTGAGGGCATTATGCTAAATGAAATAAGCCAGACAGAGAAAGACAAATACCCCGTGGTATAATTTACATGTGGAATCTTAAAAAAAACAAAGCAAACTCATAAAAACAGAAAAAAATGGTTGCAGGTTGCAGAGTTATAGTCAGTGCATTTTAACCACATTAGAAATAAATTTAGGTCCAACTGAATCCAAGAATACACACATTTAACATAAGCAAAATAAATGTGAGGAAGTCAGCAAAAAATTTTTTAAAAATGGTGGTTGCCATGGGCTGGAGGATGAAGGAATAGGAAGATGTTGTTAAAAGGGTACAAACTGTCAGTTTTAAGATGAATGAGTACTGAGGATCTGGTGTAAAACATGGTGATGACAGTTGATAATTATTGTACAACTGAAATTTACTAAGAGAGGAGAACTTAAATGATCTCACACACAAAGAAGACAAATATGTGAGGTGATGGATATGTGAATTGCCTAGATGGGGGAGCGGGGAGGGGAAATTCTTTCACAAAGTATATGTATATCAAGTCACCATGATGTACACTTTAAATATCTACAACTTTATTTGTCAATTATACCTACGTAAATTTGAAAAAAATGCTAGAGTATGATGTAAAAAAAAAGTTATGACTATAGGAAACAAGGCAATGCACCTGAAAGCAGTTAGCACAGGCAGATTGACCAGAGCAGGCTCTTAGCCAGGAAAGAGACCACTGCTACTACTGTTCCAGGAATCTTCACCGGGGCTTTGGGCATGCTGCACGCCAGGTAAGGCAGGGGCTGGGCCTCTGGCCTCGAAACCAAACTTTTCAGAGTCCAGGATTGAGGTTACTGCTAATGCCCCTTCCAGCATGGCCAAGGGGCCTTGCCATTTCCAGAATTTCAGCTCCAAGTCAGGAGGAGAATGGGATGGCCAGGGATCCAGCCATGGGGGCTGGAAGTAGGGCAGAGGCGCGCCTCCTTCAACCTGCCAGGAGTTACCTTCTCACCCCCGCAGATGAACATAATAGAAAATTGAGGAGCAAAAGGATGCAGGCGACCTCCTTTAATGCCTCTCTGCTCCTTGTCCAGGATTCCTCAGGCTACCCAGCAGCTCCCTTTTAGATCCAGTTCAGAACAGCATCTTGTGAAATGCATCCTAAAGGCATTCCTACATGTCTTCCTGCTTTAGGCAATAGTATGGTTACAATTCCACAGAAAAAGTAACGTGAAGATTATCATGGAAACCAAAGAAATGTTCCTGAAAAGGCACCTCACCTTCTCTACGTGGAGCTCCGTGCTGGCACAGTCTGTGGAGTCCACACACACATACACCACATACACACACAAAATGACTTCACTATCACTATGGAAAAACGCCCCCATTTCATTGGGGAATTCTGTCACACGACAGGACTGAGTCAAGCTTACTTAGCTCATTTCCAAATGACCAGGTTTAAGATCAACTGTATCCTTCTTGGGTTGACTGATTCGTTTGGCAATGTTACCAAAACGTACATCAACAAACGAGTGGATAAAGAGGTGGTACACATATACAATCGAGTATTGCTCATCCATAGGAGAGAATGAATAATGCTGTTTGCAACAACCTAGATGGACCTAGGGATGGTCACACTAAGTCAGAAAGAGAAAGACAAACACTGTGATATCACATAGATGTGGAATCTAAGATATGGCACAAATGAACCTACCTATGACAGAAACATGAACACAGGAAACAGCCTGGTGGTTGTCAGGGGGAAGGGGTTGGGAGAGGATCAGCGGAGAGGTTGGGATTAGCAGATGTGAGCTTTTACATACAGAATGGATAAACAACAGGGTCCTACTGTGGAGCACAGAGAACTATATTCAATCTCCTGTGATCTGTCACAAAAGAATATAGAAAAAAAAGAACGTGTGTGGGGGGGGGTGGGGTGTATAACTCAGTCACTTTGCTATATAGCAGTAATTATTAATCACACATTATAGGTCAATTATACTTCATTTTTTTTAAAGTTTTCATCCTTTAGTGTAAAGAATAGATAGTGGCAATAAGAGAAATCGATCCCAAAGTGTTCTTTCTAATACCTGATGTTGTAGGTGAGGAAAATATCCCACCATAGAGGAAAGACTTATTTTTAAACATACTCCTTGGAGCATTTTAGAAGACTCTGAAATCACTCAGATATCTGACTCATCAGCTGTGCTGGATTTCTTGAATTGTACAATGAGAAACTGCCTTTATGCTGATTATCTCACCTCACAAGGAAACAAACAGTCTGATAATGAATAAGAGGGAAAACATGAACATGTGTCCATGATTATCACATGAGTTGAAATACACTGAAAACTGAAGTCATAAACACCTTAAGAGCTTACGGGAGTACACACATACATATAAAATATATCCAATTTTCAAGCCATTTGTCAACTTTTGTCACCTTCGAATGAAATAAATTAGCCCACTGTGGATAAGCCAGTATGCAAAAGGAGAGAAAAGTTTCACAGATGATAGTAAACATGAATGGATATTCCACTATTAGGGATTGATTCTTTTGGCTAAGCCTGGGCCTTCTTTTGAAAGGTGAAGTACTTGGGGAAGGTTAACATGGTAACCCAGGATACCAGGGTTGCCACGTTTTAGTGATTAAATCTAGTTACAGCATCTCTCCTAACTTAGATTACATAAGGAAAAAAAGAAATGGCGTGCTTGTAGGATGAAAAAGTAGGACAGAGGTATGATTTTGAAAAGTGTTATGGTAACAAAGTATACATACCTGCCTTTGTACTCTTGAGAATTCCACCCAGATGGGAAGCTGGACAGGAAGGGAGGGAAACTGGCTAGAGGACACAGAGAAAGGGGCGGGTCTGCAGTGCCCACGGGCAGCGCAGAGCATGAGACTCATTGTTTCCCGTAACTGGCACGCACACGGTAGAAGGGATAGGATGTCAACCCAGCACCTGTGTTCCAAAAGGATTTTTTATTGAAGTGGACCTATTGAGGGCTAAAAAACTTTTCCTTATTCTGATTTACAGTCCTAATACCAAAAGAATATTATTTTCACTACTGCCTGGAAAAATTAAAAGACATAATCTCCAGTGTTGGAGAAAGTAGATGGAAATTCATATGCTTATGTATCTTTGGAGGCATAAGAACAATTTAATAGCGGTTATCCAAATTTAAAATGTGCATATCTCTGATCTAGAAATTTCATTTCTAGAACTCTGTCTTGCAGAAATATTAGCACAAATGTGGAAGATGTTTTTACTGTAGCACTAAATGGAAAACTGGAGATATCTAAAACAATCTATCAACAAGGGAATAGTTAAGTCACTTGTAGAAGATATGCTTATATGAATTCTAGACAACAATGAACAGGTTACAATAGATCTATATATATTATCTTGTTTAAAAAAGTAATAAAAGTGGCTGAGTGAAAAAAAAATATTGCCAGGTAATATTTATGGTATGGTTAACTATTTGCACTGAAAGATGGATGAGTGGGTGCAATGAATGGATGGACAGATAGATGGATAGACAGATGGATGGGTGGGTGAATGCATGGACACAATAACAGATGGGTGGACAGAAAGACGGACAGATGAATAGATGGATGGGTGGATGAATAGACAGGTGGACAAGTGAATGGCCAGATGGATGGACAGATGGGTGAGTGGATAGACGGATGGATGGGCAGATGGAGGGAGGGAGGGTAAGTGGGAAAGAGGGAGGGAGAGAGTGGGGGAAGAGGGGAGGCAAGGAAGGCTAATATGGATGAACGGCAGAGACAGGGGTGCATCCAACAGGCCGTGAATACAGCTTATCTGCTGGGTTGGGAGTAAGGGAGCAGGTAAAGATACTTCCAAAGTTGTTATATACTGCTAGATTGTATGTATATTTGATAATATACTATATTTGACATATACTACCTTTGTCCTTAAAAATCACTGAACATTTTTCTACACTGAAGGAAACATGGGTGCCCTCCTCTCACACTGAGACAGATGCTGAGCTTCCCCAGTGCGCACTGGCATCTTAACGCGCTCCCTGTCCTGAAGGTGAGCCTTAGCTCCTCACGGCCTCTGCGCCGCAGCTCTCCTCAAGCGCAACAAAGGCTAAGTACCCTTTAGACAAATCCGAGGAGTGAGCATGTGCACACAACCACCTGAGCTGACTCAAAGGACGGCTCTTCCTGAATCACACAGCTTCCGCCCACCGCTGGACCAGTCGTTCTCAAACTTGAGTGGCGCCAGAATCACCCGGAGGCCTGTTTAAACGCAGACTGCTGGACGTGCAACCAGAGTTTCCAGTTCCACAGTCAGGGTGGGGCCCGGAACCTGCATTTCTATCAAGTTCTCAGGTGATGCCGCTACTGCCTTTCTAGGTCTTGTGCCTGGAGAACCACGGCTCTGGGTAACACAAACTATTTCTCAGTGAAGAATCATAATGTGGCTCCCAGGAGCCAGACTGGATACAGACCGGAGCCGACCCTGTCACCCCTTAAGCCCCTCTTTCCAGCAAGTAAGGGGGCCTGTGAGCCCGCTCCCAGCACCAGCCATGGAAGGCCGTACCTGCGCCTGCAGGCTGTTTGGAAGAGAACACTCACCTTCGGAGAAGATAATGTGGTCGTTGCACTCTTCGGAGCTGCAGGAGCACATGAAGAAAGTCTCTCCAGACCCCTTTCTTTCCTTCATAATACACTTTGAAGAAGCAGCATCATCCAGGACAAATCCATGGTAGGCAATCTTGGGGTCGTGACAGACCGTCTCCAGCGTGATGTTCTCATCATTCTTCCTCCTGGGTGCAGAGAAGGCGGGTGAGTGTGACCCGAAGGAGGCGGTCTGGGCCGCATCAACCTCAGGACGTCGTCTCTAAATGGCGCTGCCTCCCATTACTCCCGGCCCCGTCTCTCCCGGCCCTGTCCCTCCCGGCCCCGTCTCTCCCGGCCCCGTCACTCCCGGCCCCATCTCTCATGGCCCATCTCTCCTGGCCCGTCACTCCCGGCCCCGTCCCTCCCGGCCCCATCACTCCCGGCCCCGTCTCTCATGGCCCGTCTCTCATGGCCCGTCACTCCCGGCCCCGTCTCTCCCAGCCCCGTCTCTCATGGCCCGTCTCTCCCGGCCCCGTCCCTCCCAGCCCCGTCACTCCCGGGCCCATCACTCCTGGCCCCATCTCTCATGGCCCGTCTCTCATGGCCCGTCTCTCCCGGCCCCGTCTCTCCCGGCCCCGTCTCTCCTGGCCCCGTCCCTCCTGGCCCCGTCCCTCCCGGCCCCGTCTCTCATGGCCCATCTCTCACAGCTCGCCCGGCATCTCCTGCTCTTTCCCACCCAGCCCACTTTTCCCTTTGCTTATCTCAGAGTCCACTTAGGATCATAACATCGGGAATTAACTTCTTGGAAAATGTACACTTGAAGCCTTAATTCACTCATTCAATCATTAGAGGGAGGGCGTGGGGAAAAGGAGATGGCTAGGTCCTCGGGGTGACTCTAAACCTTCCCTCCTGACCACCCTGTGAGGCTCCCAACACATCCCTAGTTTGTTGGATAGAATCTAGTTAAATTATTCTCAGGGAGTGCGTCTGGCAAAGAGGCTGCGGTTCTGCTCTTTTTGTTTGCTGGGCCCGGGGCTCCATGAGCGAGGGCGCCATCCCAGCCAGCAGCTGGCGGGGTTGGAGACAGAAGAAACTTCTGGATGAAAAACTGCGGTTTCCTGCATGACAGAAAGGGACATGAGGGAAAATACAGAGATATGTGGGAAGGAACTGCAAGGCGTCCTTCCGTGCCAACCATAAACCGAGTGTCCCTGCACACCGCACACTCGGAGCCCAGCTCAGCAGAGAGCCGGGAGACTCCCCCACGAAATGTGTGCCATCTGCAGCATCACGGATGGCTTTGGGGGAAGTACGCTAAATGAAATAAGACACGGGAAGACAAATACTGTATGATATCGCTTAGATGTGGAATCTAAGAAACACAACAGAACAGTGAATGGAACAAAACTCCAGCAGATTCACAGAGAACAAATCAGTGGGGAGGTGTGGGGGGTTGGGAGGCACAAACTACTGGGTGTAAGATACACTCAAGGGTGGGAATGTAGGAGTATTTTCTAATCATCGTAAGTGGAGTGTAACCTTTAAAAATTAAAAAATAATTTTGAAAAACACTAAAAAAAATCCTCTCCTTAACTCCCAAGTTATTGGGAGGTCTTGACAAAAACAGTGGCCGTGAAACAAGAGGCCCTCCTTACCCCCACAGGGTGCGGGCTGTGTGCAGAGAACTGAGGGGCTCTCGAGGGGAAGACAGGTGTGCGCTCGTCTGTGCTGGGGGGTCTGTGTTTGATTTGGTAACACAATGAAGGCGCGCCGAGTCCGCCAGGCTCCCAGGGAAGGGCATGGTGTCGCTCCTCTGAGAAGCTTCCAGAGGCCCTGGGATGGGACAAGGACGAAACTGGGAGCCATGCAGAAAAGCCTCTCCAGAGCCCTGAGCCGGTTCTAGGACCGCAGGGGCAGGGCTCAACCTCAGTACCTGAGGCAAAACAGAAGCACAGTCACGGATGTAGAAGACACATGTGTGTTACCGGGGGGGGGGGGGGGGTGGCCTGGGGCTGACATGCACGCACGACTACACGGCTGACGCTAATAAGGGCCTGCTGGGTAGCACAGCACTCAACACTCGGCAACACCTGTGTGGAGAAAGACTCTAAAGAAGAGTGGAGATACGTATATGCATATACAGAAACATGTGTGGGCTTCCCTGTTAGCTCAGATGGTAAAGAAACTGCCTGCAGTGCGGGAGGCCCGGGCTCAGTCCCTGGGTCGGGAAGATCCCCTGGTGGAGGAAATGGCAACCCACTCCAGTGTTCTTGCCTGCGAAACCCCACGGACGGAGGAAGCTGGCAGGCTACAGTCCATGGGGTCACAAAAAGTCGGACATGACTGACAGACTTCATTTCCTTCACTTCACACATATATGTGTCAAAAAAAAAAAAGGACTTGAGGCTCCGCAAGGCCCTTAAGAGCCTCCTCCACCCAGTGCTGTAACAGTGCCGCCTGGACAGACAGGGCCCACTGTGCAAAACATTCTGGATTCACTGAAGCACCGAAAGGAAAAATACAGGGAAATAAACACAGACTTCTTTGTCCTGCAACTGAAGAGATTGTCAATATCCATGACAAAAGAACCACAGTAATCAAATTAATATTGGTTCCAAAATATTTCAATCCTTGAAAAGGACTTAAGCATTTCCCATGGTGAGAGTGAACAACTGGCGTTAATTCAACAAGTGAATGAATGAGAAGACTAAAGCGGATCACAGACAGCAGTCTTCTACTCCCCGCCTGGCTGTTTGTAACACAGACTCGAGCCTGCGAGTGAGGGTCCCGGCACACAGGCCCTGAGGCTGTGACAGCTCCGTCCAGGTGCTGTGGGGTGATGTCCCTTCAGGGAGCAGAGCTGCACAGAGCGGGCGAGGGGTCTGCAATGAGGTCTCAGCCGCCCTCTGGGCGGCTGGGGGCCGGGAGGGCCCACCAGAGCCGTCCCAAGCTGAGGCCATGTGGTCGAGCGTTCGGGCCCGGCACCAGCCAGTCCCAGGCAGCTGGGTCCTGGATGCAGAGTGCCTCCAGCTTGGTAAGTGGAGGGGAGCGGCCCTCCCAGAGGGCGCGGGGTGAGTGCCTCGGTGCTGTGGGGGTGGGGGCACAGGGGAGCACCCACACGAGTATCCCCTCTCCTCACCTCTGCATGTGTCTTTCTGCATACAGGGAGGAACAATATTCACTGTGTTTACTCTACATCTGAAACATGGAGGGGACAGAGCGGGTCCCCACATGCTCCTACCTTCTGAGATGGCAAAGCATCAATGCCAGGGGTGCGTGGTTCACATTCTACCCCCTGCACTTGGACTAGGGGTAGGGAAATCCCCCTTAATGAAAAAGTCTGCTTTTGGTGCAGAAGTTAAGTTCTCACCCCCAGTGGCTATGTAAGCAAAGGTGAGCAGAGAACAGACACGGAGGAGGAGCCTGGGGTCACCCGGCCTGGGGTCTGAAGCCTCCTGCCCTGAACCAGACCGGTGGCCACTCTCCCCCTCTTGACCTTGGTCTGATGCTTCCAGAGAAGGGTGCCTGCCCCCCGGCAGGAAACCACGACTGAGAGAGCACCGCAACCGACCCTGAGCACAATCTGTCTGTCCGTCCCCTCCCACACACGTGCCCCTCTCCTCGAACACCACCTCTGTCAAACCGTTTGGCAAAAGCAGGGCTCAGGGCGGGACACAGTGCAGCTGGTAGGTAATGGCGAACCCCCGTGACAGGTCTTGGCTGCGAACATTCCTTCAGCTCTTAAGAGCCGGATTCGTGCCCTGGTGTGCAGCGAAATGTGCCAGGCTCTCAGATCCATTGTCCAGGCTGAGGGCACATGGTCTGGAGGAAGTCTCCAGAGACTCCTGTCCAAAGGAGCAGGCAAAGATAACTGGGCGGATATTCTCATTTGCAAACAGCCAGGAGACATAGAGCTTACTTTAAAAAAAGTAGCTGATACATTGAAACCATCCGTATAAGTCTTCAAAATGTTACATTTCATCAACAAATGTACACTTTTTTTTTTTTATAAAATGAGGACTTCCTTAATTATCACTTTTTTTTAATCTCTGGCTCATACCCCCAATTCATAACACGTGTTAATAACTACGTGCTAATCAAATGATTCCCACTATGTGTGTGTTTGTGTGTGTACGTAGCAAAAATGAGAGGATGAGGGAGGGAAGAAGAAAGAGGAAGAAAGGGAAAGGGAGGGAGGAGAGAATCTGCTCCCAGAGAAAGATGCGGAGCAAGTGCGTCCCTCTTGCAGCAGCCACCATCCGTCTCCGTGAAACAGGACCGAGTCTGCCTCCACACGGAGCTCTGGACATCACTGCGCAGTCCCCAGGGGTGTTGGTCAAGTGGCTGGCAAGCGGCAAGCCCCTCTCCCCGACTCAAGGAAGGGGTGTGTGTGTATCTGAAAGTGCAGAGTTGTCTCAGGAAATTGCACCATGTGACTGAGAGAGAGGGTCTGAAGGGGGGAGACGGGACGAGACACGCGACCCTAGGCCCCGCGCGTGCGCACTGCTTGAAGAGGAGGACGGAGGAGCATGAAGAGGCGCCCTCACCAGACGGCCACGCAGACCTCCTCCGGCTTCTCGCAGATGGCCGTGATGCTGCAGTTGCTCCAGCAGGACTTCTGGTTGTCACAGGTGGACGACCTCACGTCGCAGAACTTACACAGCTGCGCCAGCTTGACAGCGCCGTTGCCGTCAGTGACCACCATGTCACTGTTAACTGCGAAGAGAAGAGAGACGCCACGCGGTGAGCCGACAGAACCAGCTGCCCACGGAGTCCTGAGCGATGCGATCTCGGATGAGCCTGCGGGTGTTAAGGAGGAACGTGGAGAGGGCTGCCCAGCACCTCCTCGCCAGAGGAGGAGGCTGGAGTGAAAGCCAGCGAGCGGTGGGGATGGCTGGGGTCGGGGAGGCCTGGCGACTTCTTGCCTTTGTCAGTGACCATCGTAAGGCACTCCTCTCACCAAAACCTCCGCGCTCAATCCAGAGACAGACGTCAAGCCGGCCTACCACGTGGTACTGGGTGCTGCTGAATGTACTCTTAAAGGAAATTATAGTTTAGTTGGTGGGTGGACATGAAAACAGACCAGGGCAGGGCAATTCAGAATAGAGGCAGGCACAGAGGATGCGGGAGCCCGACGAGAGCCGTCTCCCAACGGGCAGATCGGGGTCACGCGGAGCACAGCTGCCACGTCTGGAAAGGGGGTCAGCTGGCTCAGAGCAGCCCCTGGGGAAGAGGGCAGACGGCCGCTGCTTTCCTGACCTACACTCGCCAGAGCATCAGGGTCTTCTTGGCAAAAGCCTGGCTCTGACTTCTCCCTATAAAGTGTGTGTCCTAGACAAACACACACGTGAGTGCCAGGGCTCTGCCACCTGCCCCCTCTCCGCCTCAGCCCTCCCGGCACCACCGGCTGCCCGCTCACTCTTCACGCACTCCCCTCGGGGACACCAGGGCCTCTCCCAGGAGAAGCCAGGCTCCCACCTGCCTCAGGTCCGTCCGTTACTCTGGCCTTCGCCTGCCTGCTTGTCGCCGTCCTGGTCTCTGTTAAACGTCACCGCGTGGTCCCAAAGCGGCCCACAAGGGAACCAACGCAGGGCTTTGTCTGATCTTCTGCACATTCTCCATCACCCAGTGGCTTCCAATCCACACCAAACGCAAGTGCCACACGGCCTTCTCTGCCTTCTTCCCACGCTGCTTCCCCAGGGCCAAGAAGAGGGCCTGTCACACGGATGCTATCCAAAAAGGTACTGATGGATGCTGCCTAGCTAATCCATGAAGGAGCAAACACAGAGGTGCACATCTGGCTCTGGCACCAGGGAGGGAGGGACCGGGCGCTCCCCCCTCACCCCGGGCAGAGTGCTAACAAACAGGAGACTCCTTCACGTTCACCAGTGCCCCGCTGAAGGCAAACTGTCCCTGCAACACACGGCACGCTACGAGGCTCTGACGAGGCATGACACCCTTGACTCTTCTTCCTCTGCGAGACCCGCTTCCACTGGCAGCGCTGGTAACTGAAGGCGTGAGCTGGGAGATGGAGCCCGGGCTGTCCTCAACAAACATGAACTCAAAGGCCCCTCTGTGCCAGGCGAGAAAAGACAGGGCGCCCGGGGAACAGGGGCCCCAGCCCAGCCCGGCCCTCAGGAGGTGGGATGGTGCTTCTCCCAGGCCCGGGCAAGTCCTCCTGGTCCGCCCTGTGTGAAGGGCGCTCGGGCCTGAGGCCAGACGCACAGCTCCAGGGCCCTCCCCTGCCGCGCCCTGCCCATGGAGTCTAGTCTGCCCTCGACATTTTGCCACGCAGCCTTCTGTCACTTGGGCAAAGCACCTGTTTCCTGGGTCTCTAAAAATAAAAACTTACATAAATTTAAGATTTGCTTTCTTGTGGTACAATAAATATAGAAGCAAAAAAAAAAGCCCATTCATCCCTCTCAGGCCTCAAGTCCATTTCAGGAAGTGTATTTTGAGGTAACAAACTATTTTGAAATTCTCAATGTCTCCCGGACCAAGAGCTCTAACTAAACTTAGCTAAAAATACAGGCTGCAATGTTCTCTGAATCTTGCGTTCCATTTGGGACTAAGACAACAGGGGGAAAAAAAAAAAAAAAAATATATATATATATATATATATATACACACACACTGGTTAGATTTGGATCCATTTGTGAAACAGCTAATTTAACCCTTTGGGCTTCCCTAAAAGACATAGGCAAGGAAAAAAAAAAAAGCCAGGTCATGTTCTGTTTATTTGATTTTTGTTTTTTAATAGTGTAGCTTCAGACAAACATCTATTTGCTGATTAGAAAGCTTTGTTACTTTTAAATATAAAATCAAGCCTCTAGGACTTGGAATTCAGCCTTCCAGCTTTTAGGATTTTAGCCTCTATTAGTGGTTATCAACTTTGGGGCCAATGCTGAAATAAATCCATCATTTAGGGTGCTTAACAAATTCATGGAACACTCCACCCCGCAGACACGCTGATTTAATTATTCTGGAGGGTGGCCTGGGCACCAGGACTTTTAGAAGCTGCTCAGACAATTCTCACATGCAACCGAGGCTGAGGCACTGCGCTGGAATTAGCTGGAAATGACAAACGCGCACAAAGCAAAGCAGCACAAACATGCCCTCCCTGTCCCCAGCACACGCGCGTATAATGCACACGACAGAGGAGGAAAACACGCACCCAGAGCCACGCGATCAGCACTCAGACACACTGCCGACGCAAAGGAGTCCTTCCCTGGGCTGGCAAACCTTTTTCTAGCAAAAAGCTAAGAAATGCGACAAACGTGACAGTCAGGAGTGATGGGAGAGCGAGACAACCCCACGTGACTGGTGGTGGAAGCCGCAGCAGCAGCCACAGATGTGTGGACAAGCAGAAGTGCTTCAGATCTGAGGCCTGCAAAACAGTCCACAGGGAAGAGACAAAAAAGTGTCATCCAAAAAAAGAGAGAGAGAAAAAGAGAAGAAGACAGAAGGACCAGCAGGCTGCAGGGTTAGGGGGCCGGGCCTCGGGGAGATGCCCGGCCTGGCTGCCCAGTGGGGAGACCAAGCAGAATTCCGCCGGTGAATTCTGGGGAAGAGGCAAAAGGACAACTTGACCCCCGCTTGGAGGCACAGGCCCGTGGAGGGGGGCAGCTCACGATCCTCACCTGTTTGTCAAGGTGTTCAGTTACCACAGAGCCTCCTGAGTACCGCAAGGAGGCCCCATTTTCCCCTTTGTTACAGTAAAAGCTACCACCGCTAAGGTGAATGGACCTTCTAGCTTGGCGGCTTTTCTTCTTTTCCAGTTTGAAAGCCTTGACACAGGGCATAGTCTTTGCCTTGCCCGCACCCCCACCAGCCACTCCCTACGAGCTGATCAGGAGGCTCCTGACCTGGACCATTCCGCCAGCAATTAACTTCCAACCTCTGCTTAAAGCCAGCATCGTCCTTTGGGAACAGGAGCGCTGGTGGGACAGAGAGCTAAGTGCAGGGACGCAGCTCTCTTCACACCTTTGTTGGCGGTCACCTAATCCAGATAAAAGATTTCTGCTCTCACTCTGCAGCGAGGGGGTAGAGAGAAATGCATGCAAACTTTGGTTCATCACTTCACTACTCCCTGAAGGGCCATGGTCCCAGGTGAAGAAACCTAGCCCCCCTCCAGAGTCCTCACAGGTGTCTGAGAACATGCCAGATAGTTCAAGGCTAATTAGAATGGGAGGCAAGAGCGGTGGGGGGAAGGAGCGGGGGCAGGGGGAGATGGTCATTCACTCCACACATGACTGCCTCTGTGCATTCCAGTCCACGGGAAAAGAATGGCAGCCCACTCCAGTCCTCTAGCTTGCAGAGCCCCATGCACAGAGGAGCCTGGCGGGCTACAGTCCACGGGGTCGCAAAGAGCCAGACACACTGAGCCAGCACGCAGCATCCTCCGGAATGAGACGATCTCTCACCGAGAAAGCCACCCAGCAAAGGAAGTGAGCGAAGGCGGCCTGCTTCAGCATGTGACGGTCACATGGACTATCACATGTCACTTCTTTTCAAGCAGACCCATGAGTAATGGCAAGACCTTCAGTCTTGATCATGTTACCTTCCTCATTTTAGAGCATGTTGTCCCCAAACTTGCTGCCTAGAGACCTGCTGCCAGGTCTTGAGAATATGAACAAAGTAAATACCTAGCTGTGTCTATTTCTAGAACAGTACTGTTGTCTTTGAAGGTCAAAGATGAGCAGCCTAATAAGGATTAGATTATTCCATAAAAATATTAAGGATTTTGCATACAAACTGTGACTGTATATATACCTTTTGGAATGGTGTCTAGCATTAGCTGAACTATTAGGTAAAGTCTCAAAGTTCCAGAAATAATCCCAAACATTTGGGCAGAAATGCACTTTGGTAGCTTTGAATTCCTGCATCTATCTACTGTCATTTTATGACATGCTTTGAGGGCACTTAGAAATTCATTTATTCTACAAACACCTGTGGATGTCTTGCTTTGTGCTATAAATTTCATAGCAAGGACTATTAAAACTGATATAACCAAGTGCAGCATCTCAAAGAATAATCCAAGGCAACTGGCGAACAGAACCACTATGACTCAGAGCAGAGCTCCTCCGATATTAATAAGCACACAAATCCCCTGGGAACATGCTAAACCCACACGGGTGTGTGTCCTACGCGTACTGGTTCATGCAATGGCGGGGACGGCCAGTCTGGAATTTCTAGCAGGCTGGCAAGCTGGAAACTCAGGCAGGAATCAGTGTTGCAGTTTTCAGGCAGAATTTCTTCTCCAGGAAACTTCAGTTCTTGCTTGTATGTAAGGCCTCCCAACTGACTGGAGGACGCCCAGTCACGTTAGAGGGTAATCTACTTTTCGGAAGGTCAGCTGATTGTAGCTGTCAATCCTCTACCTTCACAGCAAGCCCCAGACTCCTGTCTGATTACAGAAGCAGCACTGGAACCTCCCTACCCACTCACAGGTGCCCGCCCCTCCTCTCAGGTAGGCACTGACCTGTCCTCAGCTGACGCTGAAGCTGCCCATTCACTCTTCGGCAGTCTTGTGGAGAACCCAGGTTGTGGCTGGCCATGATTCCCCTGTCTCCACTCATTCTGGATCTAGCAAAACTGAATACTCATTCCTCACCATTTTTCCAGCCATGGTATCCTATGACAGTCCTTCCCATCTGCTCTTCTCTTGAGCCTGGCCCCATAAATGATTGTGGGCCCAGAGGCTCTGATCACCATAT